AAATATATAATAAAACTACGATCATCACGCATTTTTCACAATGCACATTATGCAATGACGAGTGGACATCTAACCATGTCAAAATAAAATAGGTAGCTTTGACATGACCTCGTAGAAATCGAGTCGTTATACGCGATAAACATGAGTGTGTTATCTAAACTTTCAGTTATCTCATTTGTCTAGACCAAATTACACGAGATATTTTGACAGCTGACTCTAACAAACTGAGTAGTATATTTTTTGTTCTTGAAAGAGTATGTAACCAGGAAAATTTCTCGTATTTACCCATATATGGCATGTCTCAATTGTTGTGTGTTTCGCATTACGTAATAAAAAAATGTGAGGTTGTGTAGGAGGGGGGTTCACTCTGGAATTATAATAGATGACAAATTGAATTTAGGCTAATGAGACATATGGACATTGTGGTACCCGTGACGTGAACGCTTTACGGATTAACTCCCTGCTTAGAAGCACCATAGAGCTAAACATTTTTTTCTGGAAGCACTGGGGAATATTTACATAATGTATAAGCCATTCAAATTCACTTCACCAAGTCGTGTGAAATGAGTGCGATGCACCATGGGAGTATCAGGGAGATTGTCACCATATTGGTGGGCTTCAATATTAAACTCTGTGTAAGATTTTTTTTCAAAATTGTCTTCAATTATAGTTTCTGGGATGCAATATCGGATACACACGAGCTGGTAATATTTCAGTGTTGATATCGCCTTTCAACAATTACCCGTACATGGTAACCATACTTGCCCGTCCCGAACACCAGCTTGGCAATGGCGAATCCACTAACTGGTCTCACTTGAAGACCCCGGTGTTCCGGTGTTGACTCGTATGCCACTATACTGCGGTCATTCGATGTCTCGAGACTGCTAACGAGTACTGAGCTACGTAGCCGCTCGGATTATGTTACTAGATGTGGTCGCTATCAACACGCTCCCACATGAAGAGCCTGATGAATCGAAAAGGGTGTCAACTAACCGATGAGAGAACCATATATGACACGCGAGTGCCAGATCACGAATGGAAGTGTCATTCAGTTCGATTCGACTCAAATAAAATTGCAAGAAGTTTTTTTTCCAACCAGGATAGGATAGATGTAGAGTGACACGACATAAATTATAAACTATGACATCACAGGGCAATTGTTATCTATTAAACCTCAAATCACACAGATGATACACTAGTAATAATAATATAGTTATTATTAATATTATATTTATGCGATAATCACGTCAGTATTCCATCTTGAGAGATACTATGTGTAACACCATAGGCTATATCTGCACATTACAACGACGTCACGTACACCGAGTCTGTCAATCTTAACCGCCCTCGGCTTGGCCTACATATCGTTTTCATTTGGTATTTACGCCATTACAACTCACTATCCTTGCTCGGGGTGTCGAGTTAATACCAATGACTCTGAGCATTGGCGACAAGGACGTGCAAATATAAATACCATTACCCTGGGATTTGTTCGTTTATTGCATTTTGTGATTTATTTTCGCGGAGACGTGTCACGTGTTGAGCCAAAAATGCGGACAATTCAAATAAAAAATAATTTCGTCCATATTTGGTTATCCCATACAATTTTCATGACCAATTTGTTATGATGTTTATTCAACATTCTTGGGAAGATATTTTCCTACGATTGATCTTCCCTACACAAGTGACTCATTAGTGTAGCTAAGAATCGACGGTTCATGACATTATGCAGAAACGATATGAATTATCGGGTCGTTAAAGGTTATTTTCCAAAATGGGCCCTCTAACTCTATGTCACTAAGCTGGTGTCAACTGTGTGTTTTCTTCATTCGTTGAAAATTCAAACTTTTATTTTACAACATGTTTTGTCGTACATGATGGAAACTTAGTAATCTGTGTTGCACTTTTCAGTAATACAGTCAAAACACTGAACGATGTCTGCTATTTGGGACAAATAAGGTAGAAGCCTATTCATAATTTTTGAGACTTAAGTTATTCATAAATCTCATGACAATGTTCATTGGTTTATGAAGTAAAATCGTGGAGCTATTGTCCCATGGCACCATGAAATGGCATTCTTGTGTGTGTTATAGTGACGTATTTGTAGAACTATTCCGAAGAACACAATGTTAATATTTATGACATAAGAAAATATGGTAAAAATGTTGAAATACTGACGAAATGGCCACTATCCACTAAAATACAAACACCTTTTTCTCGAAAACTTGTTTTAAATCAATATTCTTATATTGTTATATTTGTATTTATGAGTAGCCGGGCTTCTTAATATGCATACATTGCGCATATGTGATCGTTTCGCTGTCGACTGTCGAATATCGGGCAGAATCATAAAACAACCCATCTACAAACATAGTATTGGTAAATACATTGATGCCATGATATCCTTAATCAATGTTTTGAGCTCGGTGAAGTGGTAAACACCCCCCCCCCCCCCCGTCAACCAGGCTTCTCAATCTGATTAAAATCTGATGTAGTGTACGGGCTTTAATTATTTTGGCTATAAACTTATTTTAATTTTATGTTTTATTACTTTTGTTATTAATGCCTTGTTATTTTATTATTTTACTTTGATTTTGATTTTGTGATTTTTTTTAAATTCCGCCCTACCTACATCTGAGCCGATGCCTATGTAACGAGATTTCAATGAGACCCACTGTCGACGATTTTAGTCAACGAATCACAGACCTTCTTCTATAGCGCACATGATGATGTCACTGGGCAGAGTCAGGTGGCAAACACACTCAAATAAAA